GCCATTGTATATAACAGGATTTGAGCCTCCATGGGTTTTGGTCTCCATAGGGGTCCTGGGATCAAACCACAGGAGATAGCAAGGGCCCACTATATTTAAAGTGAGAATCATTACAATGATCAATAATTGAAGTACTCAGTTGGTAAATATGTCTTGTTTTTTGCTTTTTGAAATATGGCAACTCTATCACTGTTCCAAGATATCCAATTCTTTAAGCATAATGTATTCTTGCATTTCAATCACCTTTAAGATTCATTTAACAGCAATGTTTCAGAGATAGACCCCAAATATTTACAGATGGGAAGGATTCCAACTAGTTTCTAGTTCCTTCCCCTTAGGATAACCTCCATTGTCTTTCACATTGTTTTAATAGAATCATAGAATCATAGAGTTGGAAGAGACCTCATGGGCCATCCAGTCAAACCTCTTTTTTTGCCCTCCCTGGCTCCTGACACATCTTTCAGTTAATAATTTTGCCCTATAGGCAGCAAATCATTGGCAGGTTGGTTAAAACTGTTTCTTAGCCTGTTTTAAAGCCTTTTAAAGGAGGAGGAAAGTTTTTGAAGAGGAACAACACAAAAAATAGGAGGGACTACAGCAGTTTGTTTTTGCCTTAGCTTACTCCAGTTCCCACCCACAAGCTTATTTAGTGCAAACTACTTTTGCATTTTGAATTCACTTTGTACCAATTTAAATAAATTTTGGATGAAAGGAGGATGTTTAAGAAAGAGAGAATAAGTGAAAAAGTGGGGAAACACAATTAATCAGGATTTTCTTAGCTAAATTGGAAAGGTTTGACAAAATGGAAACAGAAATGTAAATAAAAGCCTGCCTTCTCACTTACAAACTTTCTTAACCTGTACACTCTTAAGGTGAATTTGCTTTGAATGTTGCCTCATGGCCTATAGATGCTTTGTTGTGGAAAAGAGGCTTCTCCATTGTGGTACATATAAAGTGGAATTAGTTTCCTCTTGATATAAAGAGCGTTTTTACATCGCATGATTATAGTGTTATGATTCCACTCTGCCTTTGAAATCCTGCAATTTGTAGTTTTGGGATAAGTATTGAAAATCTTTACCAGAGACCTCTACTTCTTTCCGAAATTACAACCCCAGCATTTCTTAGGATGCAACCATGACAGCAAAAGAATAATTAAAATGCTATAACTGTGTAATGTGAAAAGATTCCTAAAAGGAAATCTCGTCTGCGTGGGTAGATATTATAGTAGATGTTCCTACACTATAATTGTATTATGTGAAAGTTTGCGGGTGTCTCTTAATCTTAAATGCTTTCCATCGGCAAGTCAAAACGTGCCCATTTGCCTGGCCCTTTCCTTGCTTGATAGCATTGCCAGCATGTCATTTTAAATTATTTATTTTACTATTTTATTGTTGGCTTTTACTAATTTGTCATGCTATAATTTATTATATATTTTTGTAAACCAATTTCTAATGTGCGAAAAGGTGTCAATATTTCTAAAATTAATAAGTAAATAAGTAAATAAGGAGAATGTGCAAATATTCTCTAACTAGTCTCCCCTATTCACTCAGGTAACAAGAATATGTGTATGACACTACTTGAGAAATACCTCAATTGTTGAACATGATATAACTTCAACTTGGGGAGAAAGTCTAGATTTCTGGTGACCAGTTAATCTGCCATGAAGGATATCAGAGCACACGGTTGCATTTTTTCTTGTACCCCAGCATACAATTTCTACTGTGCATCTCAAAATCATATACAGTTGAATAATGCATGGCAATGCTGTTGGGGAAGGGATGTTAGGTGGTGTTAGAAACAGATGAGGAAATCATTGCTACTGACCAATCTCCTGGGGAAGAAAGTCTATCGATGTTACAGTATAGAGGATATCATCAGCGAGGCTTGTGAAAGGTTCATTTGTTTTTGGCTGGCTCAATGCTGCAGCTGCTCAATGAGCACATGGATACCCTGTCTCAGCACTGAATGAGAGCAAGAGCTGTATGCCTTTCATTGATGTATTTTTCAAAATCTTCCTTATTTCCTGGGAGCAAGGCTGCATCCCTCTTAAAAAAGAATCAGCAATCCAGCTGAGCAGGCATTAAAAACTATGATTAAGAACCATTGTATTTAAATTAGAGATAATCTCAGACACAACGTGGAGAGCTAGCTATGGGTGTGGCCCTTGAGAAAAGATGCAATTTCCCCTGGCATTGTCACTCTCCTGTCCTTGATTGCCACCAGCCTCAAATTCCAGTGATTTACTGATCCACAGGGTATAATTTGCACCACGTGTGGGGAGTTACCGCTGCACCAAGCATCCCCTCACCCCCCTTTAGAGGGGTTGATGATGAGCTGTCAGCTGGGCTTTGTTGCTTTCAGTTCATGAACAATTGCATTTGCTTCTTTCCTTGAAAGTGTGGGAGGAGCAGGACATCAGCTAAAGTGCCAAATTGACTTCCCAATTCCAATTGATCAAAAACCAAGAGTAGGATCATCCAGTGTTCACTAGCTATAGCACTAAAACCATTTACCGTTTGTTATTTTTAGAATACATTTCAGTCACATTTTCAGAGGTTCTGAGGCCAGGAAACAGACATTTTCTAACAACTACTAAGAATGTATACTGTATTCTGTATGTTTCTCAGAGCATTCTATGTGACATTTTGTCATTATAGCAATCATTGTTAGGTAGGTTAACTTGAGAAATTTGATTTGTCCAAAGGTCGGCCGGTGAGTGAATTTGATGGCTGAACAGGAATTTGAATCCATGTTCTTCCAGATTGAGCCCCGTGAATATATTAGCTACTGCTCCATGCCAGGGATGTAAATAATTGTTTTTGTAGGAAATTCTAAAATAATTGCACATTTTTTTCATATTTCAGGATTTATTTATTTTTTCATAACGCCCCATCAGTATTTTATATAAAAATATGTTTGCACAAAATGCTTTGTTATATCCACAAATACATAAATTGGATTTTGTGCAAAGCCACATTGTTTTGTGCACATATGAAAATTTCAACAACAAAACACTTGAATTGAGAATTAGCAATTTCTTGAAAGTGTTGAAAATGATTTTTCATTGAGAGCAAGAAACTCTTATGAGTATTCTTTACATAATTTTTATAGTAAATACACACACACACAACAGTCAAATTTTTGCACTAAATGTTAGAAAAAAATACATAATTCCAGACAGAGCTGTGATTCATGAAATAACCTGAGGCATATCATTCTTTCATGTATGAATTTTCTATTTTCAAAGTTTGGTAAGAGAAGTTCAACTATGTGTATAGAGCAGGTATCAGATGTGTATATTGTCCCTAATCCATCTAAAGTTAAAACTGCAAGCTTCCACACAGCCATATCAGCATTTTATGGATGAAAACTAGGACGCACGTGGCCAAGCAACTTCAGTGTGGTCAAAATGACAAAAGCTATCATTGAAGAAGGACACACAATCTAGGCGAGAGTGCAGCACTGAAGTGAGCAGAATTTAGCCCATTCAAACACTGAGTTAATAGTCTACAAACTACTTTTGCACTTTGGTCTCAATTTGTATTATTTGGAGTAAGCTGAAGAGAAAGTGAGGGAATGAGAGGGAAAAATTGACTTTTTAAAAGCAGTTGGAAAAGTGGAATGACAGAGGATTAACCAGTACTGTCCCTGCCAAATCACAATTGGACAGTTTGTAATAGCAAAGTGATAATATGCTTGTTGAAAGAAGGGAGAGTTACAGTCACAGGTAAGACAATACATCTGAAAAATTAGCTACTTCGGTTTGACACCACCTTCATAATCCACTCTAGGAGAGGCCTGTTATATGAAATACCGTAGGTCTGAATTTTATGGAGTTTTGAAATATCTTTCTGTAGAGAGAGGTTTATATGGTGGAGCAGGCCCTGAAAGCCAAGGACTGTTCTGAAACATTGTGTGTATGGAGCAGTGGGACAGGCAAAGAAGGCTTTGCAGAAGCAGTATAGAGAGAAGATTCTAGTTTTGTCTACATCTGTTTCATAGAAAGCAAGTAGACAATAATGGGAGGATATAATAAAGGCATCAATGAAGGTAATACCAATGCTAACAACAGGGGAAAGACTACACAGCAGATTTTGGGCAACTGGCAAAAACAGGGAACATGTTGTTGCTCTGTTTATAACTTAACGCAAGGCTTTATTAGAATAAAAATTCACAAGTTAGCCAACCATCCCAAAAGATAGTTGTGGCATAGCAACTAGGCTGGGTTCTGGACAGCACTAAGCCCAATAGCTTATAGAAGACCGTGTTATAGAAGCATGTCTCGGCAGCATAGGATCACTGGTTGTCACTGCAAACCTGTGCGCACTCTAAATTCAGTTGATTCCAACTACAGAAAATCTATTGACACAATGGTATAGTGTTGATGTACAATTTAGCAATGGATGCCGTGGATCTGTTCTAGATGGGATTTGCAGTTAGATTTAGGCTTGACATTTATATATTGTGATGACATAGCACATATTTTATGATGCAATGGATAACGCAATAAGATTCCAATCGTAGTTCACTCCCCACTCCTGATTATGTGGTGCAAGTTAGATGTAATTTTGTTTAAAATGTTTTTCATGAAACAGATGGCTTTCTCTTATTACATTATCTGCTGCTGTGGGTTTTGTTGGGTTGTTTCAAAAATCCAACCAACTGTGATTTTCTGTTCTTGTTTGATAAAAAGACAAAAGATGCACAAACATTTGGTTTGATGGAATGTCATGTCATTTGAGTTCTCCTCATGTTATATTTACTTTGCATTGCATTGTGCCCTGACAACCAATCTGAAAGGAATGGATGCTAAGCAATCAGATTTTTTTTCTTAGTTCAAACAAGACAAAGACATTGAACTAGTCGGCAAGGAAGGTCATACTTCAGCTATTCTTACTTTACAATATTCACTCAAATGTACAGTGATAACTGAAGAAAGGTGATTTCTGATATGTTTCATGTGAAGTTAATCTCTAAAACACCTTCTAATCTCTTTGCAGGACCGAATCCGTGGCTGAGAAGATGTTGACTAATTGGTTCGCTTTTCTTCTTCACAAATTCCTAAAGGTAAAGAACCTCTTACTTTAGACCTCATCCCATTTTCTTTCTTCCATGTTCTGAGTTCCAGCTTAAATTTTATTTTCAAATTTCAAATGCTGATGCAAACTAAACCAACAGACTAGGAGTGCCAGCAAGGAGATTATAGAAACAGGGAAGATCAGAACATGAACTAATGTAGCTTTAGCACTTTATCTCTCACACACACCCCTCCCCATTTCTAAACACTTAGCATTCGTTAACGGTACAATTTATGATGGAGCCCTTCTCACAACACAGGGAAGCTTCCTATCAGTATCCATCATGCTCATTAGGAAACCCTCTGAAACAGTCCAAAAAATGAAGGGGGGAGAAGATGGTCAGAGAACATCTTCTGGACTCAGGAATCAGGATAAAACTGAAGAAAACACCCAAAACCACATGGAATAGGAGCTGTCCGGATTGAATCACTTCAGCTACTTCCTTGAGTAAGGAGCATTCCTATGGGCAGTCTGCTACCAAGCATTGACATTTCTCTCCCCAAATACTGTTTCATGAGCCTGGCATCATTATTTTTTAATGTTAGGTTTCCCTCCAAGTGGAGTCTGATGTAAGATCAACTGCATGGCTCTACTGCAGTGCTGCTGGATCACAGGGGAAAGTTAGGTTGCCCTCCCAGTGGAGTCTGGTGTAAGATCAGCTTCTTGACCCTATACTAGAGTAGCAGGATCCAAGGAGAAAGTCAGGGTTCCCTTCAAGTGGTGTCATATTTAAGATCAAGTGCTTGGTTCTATTCTAGAGTAGCGGGATTGGAGGGGAAAGTCAAGTATCCCAAAAGCTTTTTTTCCCCCAAGGTTTTTTCTTTTTAAAATGAAGTGGATGGGACTACATTGGCACATAGGATAAATCTGAAAAATGATACTTTGGGAACACCAGGAAAATAAGACAAGATAAGAATAATGCTATAGGGCATGACACCATGGTAATATGACACTTCCCCCCACCATGGGATAAACTCCTTTGTTTTGTTTTTTGTTTGTTTGTTTATTGTCTATCTGAGATTTTGAGTGTGAATCTCTTCTGACTCCTGTGCAGCCATGAATTCTGCCGTATTGGTAATGGGGGTCACATTTCTGTAAAATAATCGTAATTCTCTGTATGGCCAAAGGCTTTCATGGCTGGAATCACTAGGTTGTTGTGGGTTTTTTGGGCTATATTGCCATGTTCTAGAAGCATTATCTCCTGACGTTTTGTCTGCATCTATGGCAGGCATCCTCAGAGGTTGTGAGGTCTGTTGGAACTAGGAAAATTGGGTTTATATATCTGTGAAATATCCAGAGTGGAAGAAAGAACTCTAGTCCTTTGGAGCTAGGTGTGAATGTTTCCATTGGCCACCTTAATTAGCATTTGATGGACATTCCACAGTTATATAAACCCACGTTTCCTAGTTCCAACAAACCTCACAACCTTTGAGGATGCTTGCGATAGATGAAGGCGAAACATCAGGAGAGAATGCTTCTAGAACATGGCCATATAGCCTGAAAACCTACAACAACCCAATAGTAATTCTCTCTCTGATGTCCTCGTGAGGAGTTATTTCTCTTTCATTTGAACATAAGGTGCCATATATGACCTCCATCAAATGACTAGTCTCACTTAGAGTGGATCTACTAAATCAGTACAATTTAAATGTGTTGATTGATTGCTGCAACTTCCTAAGCTTATTCCAGGATGTTGATTATTTTTTTATTTATACGCCACCATCACATGTTCATGCCACTTTACAGTAAAGTAATCAAAATATATGTGTGTATACACAGAGAGAAGGACATATAACAAAACATAAAAGTATACAGTGCAATTGCATAAAAATATAAAGCAACACAACTGAAAATATAATACAAAATGGATTATACTTCTAATCAAAATATACAAGACTATGCAAGAATGTTAAACTAAAATTCCAAAACCTTTTGGGAATCCAAAACTTTCAGTTAAGATTTAAAAAAAAAACAATAAGAGAAGGATCAATCCACAAATGTTCAGGGAAGCAATTCCAAGAGTATGGGGGCAGCAAGTGAAAAAGCATGAAGTCTCTAATCAAGGAAAAAGAAATCCTTGGTTAAGCAAGAAGCCTAGTATTCCTAAAATATAGGTGTTGAGCAGGCTGGTAAAAAAAAGAAATAAGGGATGATAGATCGAAAACAACCAAGTTGTGTAGGGCTTGGAACAATGAAACAAGAATCTTATACTGAATCCTAAAAGCAGTAGATAACCAATGAAGAGATACCAAAAGTGGGTAACATGATCTAAATGACAGATGAAATAAATCTGAGCATCAGATGCTGAATGGAAACCAGAGGAATGTGGTGAGATAATGGAAGAGCAGTCAAAAGAAGATTGCAGTAATCAAGATAGAAAATTACTAAGGCATGAACTCAGGTCTTAGCAGAGGAAGCAGAAAGAAAAGATCTGATTTCGACAATGTTATAAAGAAAAATCAACATGACTTTGCTACAGTCTCAATGTGAAGAACAAAACACAAAGACTAAATATTAAGCTAAGGCTACTTCTTCCTTCACAAGGTGAATAAAAAGATTATTAACAGTGATGGAGAATATATGTTTTAGAGAAGGTTTTGGAGGAAAATTACATAATTCTGTCTTTGCAAAGTTAGGTTCTATGTTGACATGTCTAAGTTTTAGAATTTGGATTAGTTCACTTCATCCTTCCCTCTCAGTTGTTCTGGTTCCAGTACTCGCTCCTTTCTCTGTTCTGCATCCACCTTCTAGGTAGACACAAATAGGATAAATTGTCCCTTGTTCCATCTCCCTGAGGAAGTAAAAAGGAATAATATCCTCATTTCACCTTGATCAGGGAACAGCTCATTATGTAAGAGTTCTGTCATAATTTTCAAACAGGAACACGTGTTCTCTTTCTCTCCCCCCCCCCCCCCCCCCCCCCCCGCCGCAATATTTTTCTCTCTTGCTATCTCTCTCAGTTTTAATGAAAAACTGTTAGCAACTGTGGTTGGAACTTAATGTGAAATACTTAATGACATGATAGAGAGTCATACTTAGGTCAAGTTTTTGTCTAGAAACCTCAGGGTCTGAGACAATCCTGAAATGGCAACTTTTGTGTCAATCCATTATATTTTAAAGTGCTTTAAAATGTGTTCCAAGGGACTTTTATTCTCTTTCTGTAATATGGGTCATGATGATTGTTTACTCGTCTTCTCTACTGCAAATGCTGATTTTTTGAGTTCCATGGGTTTAAAAATAGACAAAAGCCTATCCTCAAGGGTGATACAATCTAAATTTTTAAAAATGGAGGATAGAGAGGGGAGGAGGGACATCAGTAGGGAGGGATAAATATGAGCAACTGCAATATGCTTCGAATTTGGAACAAGGATTAAGGGGATAAACCAAGGGCTTTGTGAAAAAGACAATGTTTGAGGAGTGTGTTGATACAGGAGAGAAACATGATCAGATAAAGGGCTTTGGAGTCATGATAAACAGAAGCAAGAGAAAGTGTCTGGAGTCATGATAAACAGCAAAGGACCTTTGTTAGGTGAAGGTGGTGTGAAGGATGAACATTTATGGGAAGGAACTGAGCAAGGAAGAAGGGCCAAAGGTGGGATGGGACAAGGCCATTAAATCTGTTAAACCAAAGGACAAGTAAGTTATGCTGGATAACGGATATGACAGAAAGACAGCAGAGAGCTTGGGCAAGGGGTATAATATGATCTAGGTTTTTGGAAGGATAAATAATTTTGACAGGTAACACGAGGATTGAAGAGTAAAAAGGAAGTCCAGGGAAAAGGTTGCAGCTCTCAACATATATTGCTGGCTATAGGGAGATGGCTAATGTGAGAGCTGCAACCTTTCAGAGAGAAATTGTGAATATTTATAATAGTATACAATTGGCCCTCCCATTGTGAAGATTTGGGTTGGAAGATTCATGGGAAAATGAAAAACCCATGAATATATCTAGGCTCCACAAGAACTATCTCCCTGTTCAATTTATCACAGTACACAATACGTTTGAACCCATCGTGCAGACTCAGAGAACAACTACTGCCCAGTTCTGCTTTTGAGGATGTAGGCTCTTTTTCAAAGAAGTGATAAGTGAAGGCGGGGGGGGGGGGGGGGGGGGTAGCAGGGCTTGCTATTTCCACATTTATGTCTGTCTAGTGAAGAGAATAAATTCAAAAGACTATGCTGCTTTTGCCTCTTGATAAGTAGCAAAAACCAAACCAAAAAAGTTACATCTTCAACTATAAAGTGCAGCTGTTTCTATATCACATTGCATAATATGTAGAAACCAAAGATTTGTCAGCTCAGGTCAATCCACTACATTTATGAGTCTAAATTAATTAAAGTTCAGCGAAGTTGTGAAAGCAGAGCTTTAAAATTGGACTTGTAGTATTGTTTTTCACCTTTTGTCTACCTTGGAGAACTTCTGGCTTTATTAATATGGGAATTGTGTTCTGTTTCCAACAGGAATGTGCTGGAGAGCCGCTCTTCATGTTGTATTGTGCGATCAAGCAACAGATGGAGAAAGGGCCAATTGATGCTATTACAGGGGAAGCTCGTTATTCCCTAAGTGAGGACAAGTTGATCCGGCAGCAGATTGAGTATAAGACTCTAGTGAGTGGGTGCCTTCTCTGAATATCTTGGGGAACATGCCAAGTACTTGTCTCCCAGGGCTGTGAAACTAGGTGGGATGTTTTGTCCTCTCTTAGACTTTCTGTATTATAGTGGGCCTTCTCACAGATAATCCTTGTATAATGGCAATTTTGAGCATGCATCCAGCCAGCAAGGCTTCCTGAGAAACAACAAGCGACCCAGCAGGCAAGGAATGCCTTACTGAAGAAGAATAAAATTATAGGATTTCTTCTTATAATATTTAAGCTAATACATTAGCTCTATTGGTATGTTTCTTCCTATCCATAATATTAGCTGCAATACAGTACTGATTAAATAGAACTCATGCAGCCTATTCAATTTTGGTTATTTACTGGATTGCCTCCTCTTTCAATCAGAGTGGCAAATGTGGCTCTCCTCCCTCATCTCATCCTAAAATGTGAGAAACTGGCAAACTTGTTCGCCCATTGAGTGTTATGGCTCAGAAAGTACTAGAATGTTGTAGATCAACCAGAGATCTAACTGATGATTTAGAGAGGATTGTGAGCTTTTGTAGTATGTACAAAGTGATGGGCCTTCAAGTCTGGGAAATTTGAGTCTGGGAAATAATGGTTCTCTCTGTGACAAAACTGGCTCAGAAACTCCAGGGCTCAAGGGACATTCAGGGAGTCAGAAGTAGAAACATCAGATAAGGAATCAAGTGAAGAGCTGAGTGATAGGGAGGGTTCCCAGGAGGAACCACCTGTAGCTGCGGAGATCAACAAAAATCTTCGTTTACAAATCAGCCAAAAATAGATTGTGTAGTTCAAAGAGATTACATGGGAAAGTTGTGAAGGAAATTCACAGGAAACGTAATGCTTTTATGGGTGTTTATTAAACAGTAAGTTATATATCTTAAGGTCAATTCAGGCAATGCTGTGTTAGAGTGAGAAGCTAAGCCTGAGTTCTCTCGTTTCTGGTTCAAGTCAAACCTTGGTTTTGGATTCAATATATTCAGGAAGTTTCCTATGTTCCTGTTCAAGTTTTTACTAGTTATACCTTCTTGCTTGTGGTCTTATGCTGTACCTGTGATTTCTGGCTGTTCCTACACTTTGTCACCTCTGGAACTTTATGAAACATTTGGATTATTTATTTATTTATTCTACTTGTATCCCACCTTCCTCTACCCCGAAGGGGATGAAAGACAGCTTTAAATATGGCATCTATTCAATGTCTTTGGAACAACAAACAGTTAAAATACATTAAGTTAAAGATTAAAATTAAATGTACATTAAAACATATAAAACATTGCAATCACTATTAAAAATCACACTATCTACAATCGTAATCCAGGACTGTTCCAAAAATAATTGCACATAATTATGTGGCTCTTATTGCACTATAGTTAATCTCCAAAGAATTACTGTTGGGTTATCACCTGTTGATAAACTTTTTTGGAGTATATATCTTCCTTTCTTACTCTTGATTTTATATGCTTTTATGTGTTCTTACAATAGACTGTTCCTTATATTCCTGGACTCGTGTATGGTGTGGTGGTCATAGGTGTTTCCAGGCCTGGAGTGCAACATAGACCTTTCAAGTGCCAGACCAACACCCTAACCATTTCATACTGCCTGGTTATTTTCGTGTTTTCTCTGTTGCTTCACACACATGCCAGTTGACATCCTTGAAAGAATAATAAATAGTGGCTGAAACAAGCTATTAGTTGTACCTGTTAGTTCGTAACTTTACTTCAATAACTGTGGCTGCATTGGTTTAATGGTTTATTGGCTCATTATGTGGATTGAAATTATGAATTGTTTTTCAAAAACATTGTGTACTTGATAAATGTTTGCAAGCTATATCCAGTTGTGTAGGATAAAACAATAGCTAAAAGATTTATGCATAGGTGCTGAACTGTGCTGAATTCACTTGTACATACTACCAGATCGCCACATCCTTTCTCTGTTGTTCAAATTTATTCTCTTATTTTAAAATATAATAGGGTTCAAGACATGAGGTTTACAGTGAAAATGACTATGGTTACATGCGAGTGATTCATGGACTTCTCTGAATTCAGATTACTACTCTCATTCATTTTTCTTTATAGATCTTGAACTGTGTGAATCCTGACAACGAAAACAGTCCTGAGATTCCCGTCAAGGTGCTGAACTGTGACACCATCACACAGGTCAAAGAGAAGATTTTAGATGCAGTGTATAAAAATGTCCCATACTCACAAAGACCGCGAGCTGTTGACATGGACTTGGGTAGGAGAATATTGCTTACAGATGATATTGAAGTCTGCCTTTAAGATTCTTTTCATAGTCAGATAGAATAATGTTGATTGCAAAGCCAGCATAGAGTTATGTGCCATCTTTAAGACTAACAAATTCATGATAACATGGCTTTTTGTGAAATATTATTGATCTCATCAGATGCACTGGATTATCCTCCATTCAGACGCATAGAGCAAAATCTTATAACTTTACATACAATGTGTTCCCCATAGCCATGGGGGATATATCCATGAACTTTGCATGGATATGCAAATCTGCAAATGATGACAAATCATATTGAAATGAAGTGTTTCAGGCTCAAAATATAATATAGTTGTGCTGAACTACCTCAGAAATGCCCAGAGAAGACATATTTTGTCAGGCATGGATAAATGAAATTGCTAGGATCTACCACATGGATACAGTGTTCATAATACTATGCATACAGTATTACACTTTATCACATTTCTTGTATAGAGCAGTAATATGAGAGCCTAACATTTTCTACAAGAAAATGTTTGCATTGTAATCTCTATAATGATGGAGATGCTATTGGTGTCCTATAGTAGCTAAAGACTGGCCTAGTCCTTTGTAATATTCTTAGTGATTCTGATATCAGTTGTCCCTCCACTACTCCTAAATAGTGTGTCCTTTAGATGCTTAACCATTGAACTGCCTGATTTTCCAAGTCCCCTTAGTAAATTCTTTGTAAAGTTTAGAGAAGGTAGCTAAAGCAAGGTGTCTCCAACTCTAGGGATTACTTTCACTTAAACTGTAGGGAACCAATCTGCACTAACATTGTCAACTGGGTTTGTTCAGGAATCAGCAGAATGATATTTTAATCCATTTCTCCTTCCTTAAAAAGATCAGCATTTCATTGCAGTACCTCTCCCACTGAAATAACAGTGCTTTCTATGCTGATTGCCTCAGGGCCCATCTACACTGGGTGCTCAATTCATGGCTAATCTAGACTGGCCCTGTAGTAATGACTATGACACGGACTTGAGTCATGCTGTTTTCGCTGTGTGCAGGGAAAAGGGAATTGTTGTGGCAGTCTATGGACAGCGGATTGGTCTTCATTGAATCTGGTCCTTCTGAGTTGCTCCATAGTTTTGGCCCCACTTCAGAGACTTTCCTGAATGCAGGGCTAAACCAAATTAACATGTTTTGTCCTGCAATAAGGTCCAAAAATAACAAAATGTTTTGGGGACAACTGGGGACAACATCATGGTGTGTGTGGGCTGTTAAGCCCACGAAGATAACCCTCAGCCTATTCCTTCTTTTTTTACTTCTTTGCAGAGTGGCGCCAGGGCAGAATAGCACGTGTGGTCCTTCAGGATGAAGATATAACCACCAAGATTGAGGGTGACTGGAAGCGACTAAATACCTTGATTCATTATCAGGTGAGCACGTAAAGCCTAGCATGTAGCCTGAAGAAACAGGGGGAACAACAGGGGGAAAGTTGCTAAATGCCCAGAAATTTAATTCTTCAGCATCTTTTCTAACAAGACAGGCAGAAATATTTATTCTTTTGATAAAGTGGATAGTTCAATGTGTCCATGTATTAAAGGAGAAAATAGCCTTGACACACATCTCACAGCAACAAGCAGAGCTGAAAATTGACTAAATTAAAAATGCCAGCTGCGTTCATAAGACAGACAGCATATTGCTGTTCTCCCAGCTCAAAAGATGTAGAGACCAATACAATAGCTGGCATGCTAGAAACCCAGGTCTGGAATGTGACAGAGGAACAGACTGTTGAAGAAGAGGCTTATCAGCTGGAGATTATGTTGCTGAATTGTCATAGTCATAACAAGAATATCAGGCTACATGGGCAATTGTTTTTCTATAAGTTCAAATACAAAGCTATACTACAACCCCATTTAGGAAAACTTGTGCATTTTTAGACCATTGATTCAAGTTCATACTGTCAATCTTAGTTAGCACTGTTCTCTGCTTTGCCACAGAACCAATCAACATTATATTACACTGTAAATCCAGTTCATAGAATCATAGAGTTGGAAGAGACCACATGAGCCATGTAGTCCAACCCATTGCAATTCAGGAAAAGCACAATCAAAGTATCCCGAGACATGACAATCCAGCCTCAGTTTAAATGCCTCCAAAGAAGGAGCTTCCACCATTTGTGAAACCATACAAGCAGAGGCTTCACCTGATTTAAAAAAATATTTAACAATGCATTGCAGATATATCATTATTAATTCTCAGCCAGACCTATCCATGTATCCACATATAGGAATATACACAGGAAATGTGTATATTCGAGTAGAACTGTACCAGCTCTTGGAGAAACTCTATCTGTGCTACTATTTGTCTTAGCAAATGTTTCATTCATATCCAGTGAAAACTCCCACTTTGTAATTTTTCAAAGTGTTCAACAGAAAAGAATGGGAGATAGACTGTGGCACAGCCAGATACTTGAAATGTAATTCAAGAAAGTATCTTGATTTTATCAGGTTTATCAGGTTATGTAGGAGATCAAGGGTATTATTAGCCCCTTGTGATCCTAAATTAGATGAATACTAATCTTTGGTGGCAGCGTTCCCTAAAGTGGAACACCCCCACCCCCCACCCCCATCCTTTGAGTTTTCACCACAACTATGTGATAGTCTCCCATTGAATTATATCTGGCAGTGATTGTCATTAATTTGCTATCCACATTATAAACACCATCACTTCAGTTCAGTTGTCAGGAGGGAAGCTCCTCAGTTAATCACAGTTCCTGGGCAGATATTGATGTACACAGAAACATAGAAGTAAAGCAAGATAAAGGAAAGCAACAAGTAAAATTTAAACATCAGAAGTATTTTTAACTGGATGATGTGGTCTTCAACACAATTATCAGGGAGGGAGGCTGCTCTATTGCCTCTTCCTTGAGGTTGCACTTTCTTTATTGCTAAAGCAAATAAAGTCCCAAGGCATTTCCATTTTTCACAGTGAAGGGCTAACTCTATAACTTCCTTCAGTCCCATCTATTATTGTTGGCATAGACTTGAGGGAGTCTTCCTTTAGCAACCCATTTCGCCCAGAACTCTTCTTGAACATTTCCCCAGCCGAACTGCCTCCTGATTCCCATTCCCATCCACTCATAAAGATTAAATGCTGCTTGTACTTTTGGCCAGGATCATTTGGTTCATGTTGTTATTGTTATTGTTTTACATGGTTTTCATTACAATTCAAACAAAATGTCTCTTCTGTCTCTTTTGAAGGGGTGGGAAATTCAAGTTCTTGATCGGCAAATACTGCCTCGTGTTTTTGTTTAAATGAAAAGCAGGGATCTAGATACATCGATGGATTTATATTTATGAATACATATATTCTTATATTCACATCTATAAATATACTCATATAAATATCAATATATGTAAAGAGAGAGAGAGAAAGATACCAGGTCTCGGCGGTGGCTGGGAGAGCTTTTGCACAATTAAAACTTGTGCGCCAGATGCGCCTGTTTCTTGGGAAGTCTGACTTGGCCACAGTGGGCCATGTGCTAATTACATCCAGAATAGACTACTGCAGTGCTCTCTACATGGGGCTACCATTGAAAACTTCTTGGAAGCTTCAATTAGTCCAGTAGTTGGCAGCCAGGTTGTTAACTGGAGCGGTGTACAGGGAGCGTACTACTCCTCTGTTGCGTCAGCTCCACTGGCTGCCGATTGGCTTCCAGGCACAATTCAAAGTGCTGGTTTTAACCTTTCAAGCCCTGAATGGTTCTGGCCCAGACTACTTGTTTTAAGTTTTAATCTTTAAACAATTCAGGAATAAGTTATCTGAAGAACTATCTGCCCCTCTACCATTGTGTCCAAACATGGAGGTTATTGACCAAAGCCTTATCAGTTTCTGTGCCTTTCAGAACAATGTGGCTTACAGGCATAAGGAGCAGGGCTTTTTCAGTGGCAGCATCACAGTTGCACAGCTGGGTACCAAATAGGATGCATCAGGCCTCCTCTTTCCAAGTCCTTCAGAAGAACCCTTAAGCACGGATTTATTCTCAGTGGCCTTCTCCCGATGCTTTTATGGTCTATTTGATTGTTCTTTGGTTTTAGTGTGTGATTGATTTTAATGTTTGACTTTGATTGGTTTTAGTCTTACTGTTTGGTTTTTATTACTTATTAAATTGTTAATTGGCTTTTAATTGCATGTTATTGATGTTTTATGGATTTTGTAAGCTACCTTGAGAGGTTTCTTTTGAACTATGGTATCCATAAATAGAACATCATAAATAAGTGAGTATTTTTCATCCCACAGGGAAAGTGGATACCATTGCACTTTTGGAAATATTGGCTGGTTCATAGGTACTGAAATTTTAAGATTGGGATAGAGAAGTGGAGCTGACTTTGGAAAAGAAAGGTTGACAAGTTTACCCAGTGGTAGGCAGTTCTATGGTAAGGGGATAGCTGTGATGTGTTTCACCACTATTTTGATGAAGATTTTCCTGAGGCTTCCACATTTGAATGGCACAGTGAAAGATACTAATCAGTATGGCAATGAAGTGAATAAAAAGCTAGAACCCAAAATCTCATCCTTTCACTTTACTATTACTTGTATCCAAAGTTATAATGATCCACCATACTTTACTCTCTATCTTACTGCTGCCATGTGATTTATACACTTTATCCACCATCCCTATCCCCTAAAGCATTTTTGCACCAGTTCGCCCACCCGTGAGAGACATTCAATTTACTGTTATTGTTTTTGGTTTGATGCCTGTTTTTATAATGTTGTTGGTTTTATTATGTTTTATACTATTCTTATGTATTTTAGCATGCTATATTTTAACTGTGTTGTTTGGGCTTGGCTTTTTGTAAGCCGCCCCGAGTCCCTTTGGGGAGATGAAAGTTGTTGTTGTTGTTATTTATAAAAGGTCACTAAACTTTATGGAAAGTCTTTGTCACAGTTTCCACATTGGTGTCTATAACAATAAAAACTGCAAATTACACAGAAATGAGGGCATAAATAAAAGATTTGCAATTATTATTAAGAGGGAAATGTTTCTTCTTTGTTAGAAGGATGCTATTAAGAAAGAGGCCATATGTTTGGTCTCATCCATTCCCATATGTGAAAATTACCCTAATTTGATAAACTGGAAAAGACCAGTGAGCTGCTCTTTGTTCCAGTTGTGATGCAGATTGCTAGTGCCTGTGAATTCTATTAACATATGTTCAATTCGAATATTTCATTGATCATTACTTGACCTCAGGCAACTATGAGGCCATGGTAGAAGTCATCTCAGGCTATGTCTATAATGTTCTGTTGTTTTGTCATGGTAAAAGTCATCTCAGTCTATATCTGTAATGTTCTATTATTTCCCATTTTAGATTAGGTATGAGAAAGAATTTGTGCATCTAGGTCAGATCAGGAGGAATGCAATGATAGATGGCAACTCCTATAACATTATAGATATTTTATCCTGTATGGAAAAATAAGTAAAGTTTCCACAGGCCAAATATGCTCTTGATTTGCCTCTTGAGGGCCGAAGTGTTCCTAACCCCAGTGTAATCTTTCCCACCCAGTGCAATCTTTCCCATTTTCCCAAGTCAATTCTGACTTCCACTTGTGACACCTTATAATTCAGATGTAACTTGGCTGAGATGCTATAAATCTTGATATAAGTGGGGCATGTCTTTCTATGTTGGAAGCAATTTCAAATATAAAAACTATACCAATGGAAGCAGTGCCATCATATCATTCTTCTAAATAGAACATCTAGCATTTTGTCAAGTCACATTTCAAGGCACAAAGCATTCTCACATTTTTTTCCCATAGCTACTCTGAAAAGCGGGTAAAACTAAAATATTATGACTTGTCGGCATTCGCCCTTTGATCTTCACAGCTAAGCAGGGTTCGAACCTTTATCTGTCTGTCTAAGCCCAAGTTTTGCCTGCAGATCAAAATGCAGACATGCAGCTCTGGGTTTATAGACTGGTATAATAATTATATTATATGCAGACTAGGGTTTGCAAATCCACCTCAGCTGTTATTAAAGGGAGTGGAGAAGTAAGGATTTTCACAAGTAGCTAAGTGACTAAAAAGCACAAATTCCCTTCGCTTCAGAAATCCCAGCTTCCATTTAAAATGATTGGAAAGTAGAATATCCAAATCCCTTTGGTAATGTGAAAAGCATTTGTATTAGTCTGTAGCTGAGGCTATCATCAACTATGTCGGTACAATACAAAGAATTAAACTGCTTTGCTCATTTGCCATGTGATATCCACTCTCGTGTAGAAGCATGGTCAATGTTATAAGTATGTAACCAGGAGCAAATGGCTAGATTCTAGAACATACACTTCAGGGATGCTAGCATTTGGCTGTGCTTTGGACTTGTTACTTCCATTAATCAGACTGTTGCCCCAAATGATAGTAATGGCTGTTTCCATTTCAG